CTGTGAACTCGTGCTCTCTGTGAACTCGTGCGCCCTGTGAACTCGTGCGCCCTGTGAACTCGTGCGCCCTGTGAACTCGTGCGCCCTGTGAACTCGTGCTCTCTGTGAACTCGTGCGCCCTGTGAACTCGTGCTCTCTGTGAACTCGTGCGCCCTGTGAACTCGTGCGCCCTGTGAACTCGTGCTCTCTGTGAACTCGTGCGCCCTGTGATCTCGTGCGCCCTGTGAACTCGTGCGCCCTGTGATCTCGTGCTCTCTGTGAACTCGTGCGCTCTGTGAACTCGTGCGCCCTGTGAACTCGTGCGCCCTGTGATCTCGTGCTCTCTGTGAACTCGTGCGCCCTGTGATCTCGTGCGCCCTGTGATCTCGTGCGCCCTGTGATCTCGTGCGCCCTGTGATCTCGTGCGCTCTGTGAACTCGTGCGCTCTGTGAACTCGTGCGCCCTGTGATCTCGTGCGCTCTTGTGATCTCGTGCGCTCTTGTGATCTCGTGCGCTCTTGTGATCTCGTGCGCTCTGTGAACGCGTGCGCTCTGTGATCTCGTGCGCCCTGTGATCTCGTGCGCTCTGTGAATTCGTGCGCTCTGTGAACTCGTGCGCCCTGTGATCTCGTGCGCTCTTGTGATCTCGTGCGCCCTGTGATCTCGTGCGCCCTGTGATCTCGTGCGCTCTGTGAATTCGTGCGCTCTGTGAACTCGTGCGCCCTGTGATCTCGTGCGCTCTTGTGATCTCGTGCGCTCTTGTGATCTCGTGCGCTCTTGTGATCTCGTGCGCTCTGTGAACGCGTGCGCTCTGTGAACTCGTGCGCTCTGTGAACTCGTGCGCTCTGTGAACTCGTGCGCCCTGTGATCTCGTGCGCTCTTGTGATCTCGTGCGCTCTTGTGATCTCGTGCGCTCTTGTGATCTCGTGCGCTCTGTGAACGCGTGCGCTCTGTGAACTCGTGCGCTCTGTGAACTCGTGCGCTCGGTGAACCTTGTGAACTTGGCATATTTAGAGACCAGTGTTTCAGTAACTATTTCGGTGAACATTGAACAACGTAAACCTGGAAAAAAGTAATATTCTGATTCTGATTCTCGGTATTTGTGAAATCACAGCTACTTAGGTCTCGCTTCACTTATTATTTTGTGATTTTAGGATGTTGAAGTAGGTTTTTAGTGCTTTTGATAAACTGTGTTCTCTTAAGACGTTTTCTAGTGCATTTTTAATTTCTCTCGGTTTATATTAGAGTCGGTTTACATTCCAGAACAGTAGTACTGATATTAGTGTGTTGCCGGGTTATTGTGTTTTATCGTTTGCGTTAATGAATTTCAACTTTTGTTTTCACTTCTATTATTTTCTGAGTTTTATTAATTTAATTTGTTGTATTCTTACGTGTTTCAGCCTAACCTTTTAGTTGTTTTCACGCTTTTATCTTTCCAAACTGAGTTTTATTAGTGTGCTGAATCATTTTAATTCATTACATCGATAGGATCATATTTTAGCGGTTTCGTGACATGCCTCCTAAGAGAAGTCAAAGGTCTCGTGACCCACGCCCGAGAGAACAGGCTCGGGTACTGCTTCTCGGCCCCCGTCGCCAGCCGTCCAAAGTGCAGTGCAAGACGTCAGGCATTCATTGACCATGTACGAAGAACTCACCGAGGCGCTTCGTGCTCTGCGGGCGGAGATGAGTGAGCTCCGGTCAGAAAACCGTGAACTGCGAGCGCAGCTAAGTTCCCAGAGACCTGCGGTTCCATCGGTCAGCACACCAGCACAGGCGCCCGACACCTCGACGGTCATCTCGTACACGGTCCCGCTCGACAGCATCCCGCTATTTCGAGCGGAGGTGTCTGCAAACCAGCCACTCCGCAAGAACCAAGAGATCGAGACATGGATACGGGCCATCGAAAACATCGTGCGACCCAAGACGGACGAAGCAAGGATATCCGCGGCCCGATCTCACGTGCGAGGAAATGCGGAAGCTATTGTCAACAGTCGCCACTTCGACAACCTTACCGACTGGAATGCTTTCAAGGGGCGTCTGCGGACTAAGTTCAGGGGAACTTGTTCCAGCGGTGATTTTTATAGGCTACTAGGGGAGCACAAAATGACGCCAGATCAAGCACCTTGGGATTTTTATATGCAACTGGATGGAATAGTGTCACAAGGATGGAGAGATCATCCGGAAGCAATAGGTGACCCAGATGAACTTGTCAAACGATACTTCTTGACAGGAGTTACCTCAGTGGCTGGGTGAACTACTTTCCACATCTGAAGGGGCAAGTGTCAGCAGGCTCGTCGAGGCTGCCCAAAGAGCTTGGAATTGTCGGAACTCGTACAAAAGGATAGCGAAACAGTCACGTCCGTATAGCCGACCCCTACCCTCGCCAACCTCAGGCAGCTCCTGTAGAATCTTCTGGTGGTACCACCACGAACTCCACCTCATCAACGAAGAGGGAAATGGTGTCACTTTCACCAGCTACGCAGTCATGACACGTTGAGTGCCCGAGCGTCGCGGAATGCTGTCCCTGCACCGGGTGCCATTAACATTGCTGATCGTCGGTGCTATAATTGCCGACGGTACGGGCATTACGCAATCACAGTTCCACCCTTTCCGACTTCCAGCAGGCCGAGACCGTACGGGTCCGCTATCCCACTGCTGGTGACTCCTCCCGCGGGGACGACAGCAGTCATCTACGTGTGCGATCAATCCTCTCAAACGAATTTCGCAGTGGTTGGAGTCGGCACCGACTATCTACTCCCTTGAATCCGCCAGACATCAGGCCGTCTCCTTGGTTGAACCTGCAGATTCAGGACGCAGCATCACCTTGGCTTTCCCTCTCACTTGATCGGATGTCTCCCCCCCCCCCCCCCCCCCCCTCCCCCCCCCCCCCCACCCCCCCCCCCAGCCCCCCCCCCCCCCCCCCCCCCCCCCCCCCCCCCCCTTCTCTGATTAAGCCCTCTGCTCAGCCTCACTAATGTACGTCGTGGCAGTGTTTTCGGGCGATACGTGCGGGCGTAAACGGAGATCCTGTCCTAAGTTGAAAGAGAGGTCACTTTAAAGTTTGTGTCTCCCCCGAAATCTCGTGCTGGCACGGTGTCCTGTGTCTCCAAAGGAAACATTAATTACCCGGGTGACTTCTTAATTGCATGGACTTTCTACGAAGGTTCAACTTCAAGATTGTGTCTATCAGTACAAGTGTCAATCATATCTGCAGCTTTAATGACCCCAAACACCGGTCATCTTCACAGACGAACCCATCCCTCACATCGGCATCGTTCACACTCACCTAGCAAAAGGACTAACACCGGGAGGATTACCCTGTACACTGCAAGAGCTGTGGTCGTCGTCCCGCTAGGTCTGCCTGCTTCATAGCCGCTCGGTGCCCGGGAATTGTACAATTGACTTCTGGCATGATACAAGGCTTACCCGCTGATTCCTCTAACACCCGCGTACTGTCGCCCAAATTTCCGCTCAAGACCCTTCGTGTCTGGGTCGTCAACAGCGACCTTAAAACCTTATCACCTGAAAAAGCGGGACCCGCGAGCGCTATGGTTAATGAAATTGCAGCAGTCTTCTCACTGCAAGATCAGCGTGATCACCCCTAATGAGATTCCTCCCCCTGCACTTGAATGATGACACCAGCCCTCAGTGAAGAGTAATTCAACCCCAGAGGCATATGAGAGGAGTGCATTGACCTCTCTGCTGCTAACGACTCGTTACGAACGCGATGATTCCAATCTTTTCCAGAGTAAACCTGATCCGTCAGCCGCAGTGGCCACCCTTGCTACCTCTCCTATCAATGACATTTGCAACAATCTTCCTCGGACATTGATTTTCCTCTGCAGTCATCTTGATGCAGCGACAAAGTTCCCAGACCCAAGGAGCTTTTTACTCGGTACAGCACCGTTTCACCGCACCAGAGAAGATATTGAGCAGTGCCAGGTATTACGCATAAGAACCGTGCTCGTGAGGCGAGACCCAGCGTTAATCTGCAGTGGAAGGCTTCCTGAATCCTACCAAGTTCGGTTATGTCGCCAAGAGTGTGACAAGATGTTGCAGCAGGAGTTTAAGAGAACCCTCCAAACGCCATGGCTCAGTTCCTGTATGCTGTGCTGCAAGAAGGACGGCTCCCTCTAGATTCTGTTTGGACTCCTAGGGGCTGATGCTGTTTACAGTGGCTGATACCTACCCACTCCCACGCATCGACGACTTACTTGACGAACTTGGAGATACCCGAATTTTCACCTGTTTGGACTCGAGAAGTGCCTACTGGAGCATCGAGGTGGAGAAAGCAGATCGACCAAAGACAGCCTTTTCAGATGCAGGAGGCTTCTGCAGTTCGTCCGCCTACCTTTCGGACTAGCAACGGCCCCCACGACTTTTCAAAGGACGATCAACATCGTACTTGGCAGCGTCCTTGGGAGGCATACACTCGCCTATCTAGATGATGTGATCATCCACAGCAAGACATTTGATGAACACCTTAGTCATCTAGAGGAAACTCTACACCTCCTTTCACAAGCAGGATTCAAGATGAATGTAGAGAAGTGTGATTTTGTGAAAACCAGCATCAAGTTCCTCGGGTTCTGTATCGACGAGAACGGCATACGTCCTGATCCCGAGAAAACACGTAGCATTAGTGAGATGCCTGCCCCTAGGACAGTGAGGGGAGTAAGACGGTTCCTCGGTGCCGCCGGATTTTTTAGACGTCACGTGCCTCATTTTGCAGCCATTGCTTCTCCCCTGACGCGACTTACTAAAAAGAATGCCAACTTTATCTGGGGGAAAGAAGAACAGGATGCCTTTGATCAGCTGAAGGATATCTTGACCCGTGGTCCTGTATTGAGGAAGCCCGATTTCTCACGTGAATTTGAGATTCATACAGATGCATCCAAGGAGGCCCTGGAGCATGCCTAATGCAGCGATCTCTGGATGGCGTGCCTTATGCAGTCTCCTACTACTCAGATGCAGAGAGTAGATATCCAGCCATTGATCAGGAGGCCTTAGCCGTCGTCAAGGATTGATCCATATGTATATGGCAGACCTTTTACTATATATACAGACCATCGTCCTCTTACATTTGTGTTCCACCGCAAGACCAAATCTCCAAGAATGAGCCGATATGCTCATAACTCCATACTACAATTTTAATGCTGATCGACAGAAAGGACCGAAGCACTTCCGACATGCTTTCACGTTATATTTTCATCCATTTCGACTAGCACGGCCAAAGAGGTTGCCGCTCAGTCTTACAACCCTAGATCCGCTCCTGGGAGAGAGGAAGCAGATGAAGGATAAATGTGGATAGATGTCATCCTACTACACTGGAAGAAGATCCTTTCCTAATAGAGCGGATCCCTCTACTTTGATGATTTTGAGCTGAAAGATGGCTGCCTAATCATGTCCGTCATCTCACGGTCCAAGGTTATTCACCAGCTTGTGATCCTCGATCTCTGAGGCAAGCTGCATTAACTTGCACACATGGCCTCCCTCCCTGGCTACACACCCGGGTATTTACGGACTTACAAATCAAATCTTCGCAATATTTTTTAGCTTCCCTAATATGTTACGTGAAGTACGTACATAGTCCAAGCTTGCCAGTAATGCCAACGACGTCGCGGGAACTGCAGAGTCTATCCGACTGCAGTGTCCTGGTGATGTGAACTTTTGCCCCTAGAGAAGGTATCCGCTGACCTTCTGCACCTGCCTATTTCGGACTCGGGGTACGCTATGTCCCTGAGCATCGTTGACTCCCAGCCATAATCTGCAGCTGATTCCTTAGCCTCACGAGATTTAACACGGTAACGAACGCCTTCATTGAAGATTAACGTGACGATCTTTGGCCCACCTGAACATCTGATCACAGACAAGGGAGCAGAATTTACCGGAACCCTCTTTCAGCGAGTCTGTACTATGCTTTCTATCGGCTTGATTCACCATTGCATATCATCCCCCATCAATGTTATTACGTAGAGAGAACGAATCGTGTGGTGAAGGACGCTTTATATTCTCTCTTGAAACCAACCGAATCCTGGCCCTCTTTCCTACCCCAGGTACGCCTCGCTTTAAAAGTGCCATCCCACCGAGCACAGGTGAGCACCCATTATACCGTCCTAACTTGCCGCCATGTCCACTTCCCGGTTGGTATTACAAATGACACTGTGTTTGACACCGAGCAGATAATCGCTGAAGCGACTGCGTGTAGCACGTCAGTGTGCCGTAGAGGCGACGCGACGGAAAGAATTGGAGCACTTCAACATACAATGCCAAGGTACGCCCACAAGCAAGTTCAAGCACGCCGGAAGTGGTGACTCTTGTTTTTACGTCACGGAGCCGGGGACTCGTGGACGTGGCCTGTCCCAAAATGGGATGGCCCCTACCTTGTTACCCGCAAGATTAACCCTGTAACGTTTCTGCTGTGTGTTCCTGGTAGCCGATTCCCCACTCTATAAGGCTCACATCACCAGTAAAACCATACTACCCCCCCACCTAGTGAGCTAGAGTTTGCGATCTCCTACAGCGAGATCCTGTAGCTGATGACCCTGACGATGCGCTGCTATCACTCTCTGATACCGCCCTCCTCGGTGCAGTCCTCCCCCATGAATCGTACAGAGCCCTTGGACCAAGTCCCTTCTACACG